GATGGGGGACGTGATCGCGGGCCCGTGGCGGGCTCAGTGTGGGGCAGTAGCTTTGGGGAGGGGGGGGCGACCGTGAGCGGCTGGGGCCAGGGGCAACCCGAGCCCGCGACCCGCCGCGCCCGGAGCCCGGCGCCCCGCGCCGAGCGCACGTGGCGGCATGCGGGGCCGGGCGGCGGTCAAGGCCCTTGCCTGCTGGCGCACCTCGGCAGCAGCGAATCCACCCTCCTCTCCCCACACACCCGTACACTCTTAAAAGCAACGCCTGCCCCACCCAGGGTTCAGGGTCGACATCGAGCCCTAAACCCGCCGGGATCCCGCCCCACCCCAAGCCGCGCCTGCATGTGCTTGAGCAGCTCCCGCGTGGCGAACACCGCGCCCCGCCCCGTCGCCGCGTCGCGCCCCAGGCTGCCGTGGAGGTGCACCGGCTTGCCAGTGACCACGCCGGGGCTGAAGCCCTGGGGGTGTTTTCGAGGGTGGAGGGGGTCGAAGGCAGCAGAGCCGGAGGCATTTAGTCGCGGGCTTTCCACGGACGGGGGGCGAGGGCGTACTTTTCATCCAGCGGGCGGGGGCCGGGGCGGTGGGGGGGGAGCGGAGGCTATTGGCTGTGTGGGTCTCAAGGATCAGGGGAATCCGGGGCAACGCAAGGGGAGGGGGTGAGGGCAGGTCCACGCCGTCTCTTTGAATTTGGAATTCAATTCATCTGGCTCATCGGAGTGTGTGACGAGTTTGCCCCTAATTCCCATCATGAGGGGAGCAAAAAACCCATGATCTGTCAAAGCTGAGAATGCCCTCCTGGATCCAGGGGCTGTTGTGAGATCCCCGTGATCTCACCCCCACCAGATCCCAACCCCCGCCTTCTACCCCACCTTGTACTTGCTGTACTCATCAAAGACCCACGACATGATCTGAGGGGCGGGGAGGGCATTACATGAGGCAGAGGGCGGAGATCACATGCACGCGCAAGCCTCGGGCGCCGGCGGGGCCTGGCATGCGCGGGGCTCCGTTCAGCACCGGCGATGTCGGCCACCCCCTCCCCGGCCCATGCATGTCATGCCCTCCCACAAGTAGTAAGGGCATGAGCCGCGTGAGGCTGTCTGCCCCCCCCACCCCCCCACCCGTGAGTCAGTGTTCATGTCGGGCGCAGGGATGTCCTCGCTGGGGCCAATGATCTCCTTGATGGCCTGGGGTTGTGTGTGTGAGTGTGTGTGTGTGCGTGTGTGTGTGTGTGTGTGTGTGTGTGTGTGTGTGTGTGTGTGCGCGCACGCGTGTGTGTGTGTGTGTGTGTTTGTCGTTGAGAACCAGCGAGTGAACGACACTCACACCCACCACCCACCCACACATCACACAACAACCCAACTTGGGCCCCAACACACCAAAAGACGCATCCCATCAGCCTGAGCGGCCCCCCAATCAGGCGATCATGCAACTTCAAATTGTAAATACATCCCGACTGTGATCCTGACCCGGCGCCCCCCCCCCCTCGCATTGTTGACATCAGGTGTAAACCCAACCCAAATCCTGAACCATCGGACCCCCATTCGTATCACATATACCCTAGCCCCGACTTTGATCCGATGCCCCCCACCTGCACCAGCTTCCGCGTCAGCTTCTCCAGCTCCCTCTCGCTCAGCTTCTTGGGGTCAACAGTGACGCCCCCCTTGGCGCCGCCAAAGGGGATGTCCATCACCGCCGTCTTCCACGTCATGAGCGACGCCAGGCTGAGGGTTTATCGGTGGCAGGGAGGGCATGCATAAATATCCGACAAACCACCTTGCTCACACCCAGGCATGGGCGCGCCAAGCGCTCTTGCCACGACCCCTCCCACCAAGCCGACACCCCCATGATATTGAAAACACGCACTTCAGATGCACCCAGACATGCCTCTCCCCGTGGACCGCCTTCCAAACGCTCTCAAACTTTGAAATAGTCCAAGGGCACATGATGACAGCTCAGATCATCACCTGCGCACGTCGTCGAGATCGACGGCCGGGTGGTAGCGCAGGCCGCCCTTGAAGGGCCCGCGGCTGTTGTTGTGCTGCACGCGGTACGCGTTGTACACCTCGATCTCCCCTGCGGCAGAGATGGAGAATAGTGAGATTTGTGACCACTAGTGGCCGGCAACGTGGGGTTTCTGGGGCGGCGAGCGGCGCGCGGCTCGCCGCTGTGATACGCTCGTGGCGGGTTGGCTGCGCTGGGGGCCGCTGCCGCCCGTGGGCCGCGCCCCGCTGCGTTCGGCGCAGCGCGTCGAGCACAGGCTGACAGGCGGCATCGTGGTGTGGCGGGCTGCCGCCGTTGATTTTGTATTGAGTTTGGGGGTCCCAAGGCGGCAGCCGAGGCAGCGGCCGCACCCACCGTTGTCCTTTTGCACGACGAGCTCGACCACCATCTCCCGATTGGGGGTCAGCAGCAGCTTCTGCAGCCGCTCCGGGTACTCCAGCTGGTCGAGCGCCTGCAGCATGCATGGGATTCGCATGCGCATGCGGCATGGTCAGGGGGCGGCCGGCGCTAGGGCTCCGGCCCGCCACCAGGGACACGTGCGCGCCTGACCTGGCGCGTCCGCGCGGAGCGCCCGCTGCCGCGGCGCGGCGTGCCGGGTGTCGGGCATGCGCATAGGTCAAGCATTGCCTCACGATCAATTGATCGCACCTCGCGTAGGAAGGTGTTGGTGTTCTCAGCGTGCGAGCTGGCCGCTCGTGAGCCAGCTGCTGACGCGCCCAGGCCCTGTATAAGCCTAGAGCCTGCGGCCATCCATCCTCCATTGCTGAGCACGCCACGTAAGGCGTTCGCCAGCATGGTGCCTCGGATCACTGTTTTGATCTGGACTACCGTGTGGTTTGCAGCCCACCCTATGGAACAGCAGACTTGTGGTCCAAAACACAGCAACTATGGCGGATTATCACGACATCAGCGTGCCCAAATGTGCCGGTTTCCGACACCAAAGAATCCAGGGCGCTCGGCTGGACGGCGAGAGCGTGATGGGTCATGGGCAAGGGGGAAGGGAAGCGCGTGACATGGTCCAAGTCACGACCGCATCATGCTGCATGATGGATTAGCTGTCAGACTATTTAATCTGTCATATCGGGGAGCTTGTAGCCGGTTGCTGCAAGCTCACCCTGCAGGGGTGTGCGGTACAAGGGCTGACAGCACATGCGCAGCATCCCACCCAACCATGCTGGGGCAAACACGTGCCGCAGCGCCCACGGCTTTGATGCATCGAGACCGGGCGCGGGTGCAGGCGCCTGCTGCTCAGCTGCTGCATCATGCCTGAGAATGATGTACTGTATCATCCCATTGCGGCATGAATTCTGTGTGGCTGACTGGCCAGCCAGCAAACTCGTATGATGATGATGCATTCGGCGGCTGCTGCGAGCTCCTGCGGTCTCTGTTTCTTTTTAGTTTGTCATGAGGCATGGCAACTTACACCTCGTTGCCCATGCAGTACCACAGTACTAAGAGTTGACTCATGGCATGAGTTCAAACGACGGAGTGACAGGCCTTCAAGCAACCATCACTGAGACGATGAGTCAAAAATCATTCATTCATGTGCATATGCCTTTCGACTCAGGCTGCTGGCGGGGCCTCGCTGCAGTTATGAGATCTACGAGATCGCCCGACTCGACTCGTGCGCCGTGCTGCTAGGTGGCACTGATGTACGAACCACGTCATATTATGCAGCTTGAAAGCATAATGGCGGAACTTCAGGCGCAGGCCGAAGCCAGTGCTGGTTTTGAGACGACAACAGTCGCAGCAGTTGCGACAGGGCCGGCGTTGTTTGCAGCAGCGGACGCCATGCTGCAGGAGCAGGAGCTAAACGACATCCTTGCTCCCTACGAGCGCGATGCCGCCATCCTGCTTGATATCTTGCTGCAAGACCCAACGGTGAGGGAGGGGGTCGCTGCACCCCTGCTCTACCACCAGTAACCATCCCCTCGATCGAGGCCCCTGTGAGCGCAGCCCGGCGCCCTCTCAACCCCGCCCGCCCTGTCGATGTCAAAATGCAGGCGCTCGCCTCCCTGAAGGTAATCACGTCCGGCGGCAACATTGGTGGGACGGCGCAGGGCCAGACGTGGCTCTCGCGCCTGAGGCGGACGCTTGCCGACGCGCGCTGCAACCGAGGCTACGCCGGCATGTGTGATGCCGTGCTCCGGGAGCGCGTCGGGCGCTCCTTTGCCATGCATGGCGCCCAGCATGCGCCCGGCGGCCTCGAGGAAGGTGGGCAGGGCAACGTGCGTATGGCATGGGTGGACCCGTCGGCTCGCAGGGTTCGGGCTTTGCATGGCAGATCTGCATGAATGCCCCTTTATAGGGGCATGCATGCAGGCAGGCACACACGCAGCTATGCAGCCCCTGGTTACTCTTGCACGAGCTCTGCTTTGCATGCGCATGTGCATGTGCATGTGCATGCCCATGGCCATGCGCATGCGCATGCCAATGCACGCAGGGCCTGAGCCCGCCAGGATGACCCCCCACCGCGCAAACATGCAGTCGCCATGCCCCTTCCACTTGACCCCGCCTTGACCCCATGCAGCACCCCGCCCCTACCCTCTCCTCCAGCCCACAACGCCTGCCTGCTGACCGTTCTGGTCTGGGCGGGCCGCCACGACCTGGCTCATGCGATCTTTGGGTCCGACGCCGGCGCAACACTGGCACGGCGCTTCGAGGCGGCGTCGGCGCCGCGGGGCGCGCGGCGGGCCCCGAGCGGCGCGCTGGCGCTGTTGGGTGCTGAGGCGCAGGACGCGCCCCAACAGCTGATGCAGGGCGGCTGGTGAGCGCCGGTGTTTGCGCCTGGCTCGTGCACACTGCGCACATCCACACGCCTGTGGGGTCGCTTGGTGTCAATGCCTTCGGATGCGCAACAACGAGCAGCACGACCGGGGCTGTCGACGCGTCGACATGCAGTGCGCCGCCGCACACCAGGCCTGGCCCTTCTCGCCTGACAACCTGACGCCCCACAGGTACGATGAAGACTGGTGGAGGGCAGACGGCGCTGACCTCGGCGGCAGCGAGCCGGCCCTAGCGCCCCTGCATGCGCCCCTGGCCGCGCCTGCGCACAATGCGCTGCTTTCCCAGGGCTCCGGTGGCGCCGCTGTCGCTAGGGGCGGCAAAGGGGACGACGCCTCTGCAGAGCTCGCGCGCCGCCGCGCGGCGGCGGCGCGGCGACTGGACGAGGAGTGGGGCAGCGGCTGCCTGCCTGCCGATACCGGCCTAGCACCGACAGCGCTGCGGGCTATCAATCCCAGTGCCCCGCCCTCTGCCGCCGCTGCCGCCGCCGCCCCAGCGCCACGTCCACCGAGCTGCGCGGCGCCGGGGTTGCACCCTCCATCACCCGCGCTGCGGCCGTCCAGCCCGGCAGAGCCGGGCTTGGCGCGCGCTCTGCCGCAGTCGCCGCAGCTCGAGGCTTCGGCACAGCGCCCCCTGCTCAGAGCCTGCAGCAGCCCCATCAAACAGCCAACTCCAAGCGGCGACGCGAAGGCCTGGCTCCCGATCGCCGCCGCCGGCGAGGGCAGGCCCCTGCTGCCGCACAGCGGCGCCGGCGGCGGGCCGCCGCCCAAGGAGGCCAGCCCGCCCGCTGCCACGACCGCCGAGGCGGCGCGTCAGTTTGCAGAGAGCCCGGATGACACAGAGAGGGCCGTCGCGGCGCTGCTGGCGTGCCCCACCGCCGCCCCCGGCGGCCGGCCCCCGCGGCGTCCCCCACGCCCGCCGCGGGCACCGACGCCGCCCTCCCCGCTGCTGCTGGCGCCTGGCGGGGACGGCGTCGGCGGAGTCGGAGGCGCAGGCGGCGCCGCGGCGACGCCAGAAGCCGCGGACACCCCCGTGCCGCCGGAGCCCCAGCCACACCAGCAGGGGTCGCTGCTTCTCCCGCCCCCGTCCCCGCAGCTGGAGCAGCAGCAGCTGGCGCAGCCGCAGCAGCAGCCGAATGAGCGAGACGCGTCGCCCGCGCCTTCGCAGCCTGCCGAGCTTTTCCTCACGACCGGAGGCGCCGGCCAGCCCGCGAACCTCAAGGGGCCGAACCCCTCCCTCGCTCCTGACTTCCAGCCGCGCCCCGCCGCGCCTGGGCCCGGCCCCTCGCCGGGGTCTGCAGCCCGCTGGGCGTCGCAGCGGCCGGAGGGCGCGCTGCGCGCGCTGCACGTGGCCGCGAGGCGCGACCCGGACGCGGCGGCGGCGATGATGACGGGGGAGACTCTGGACGCCTGCCTGGCAGGTGGGTGGAGGGCGGATGTGGGGTGGATGGAGGGTTGCGTGAGGGTGTATTGAGGGCGGATAGAGGGTGGATGCAGGCAGCTTGTGGTTTAGGAGACGGGGGGTTGGTCGAGCCGCAGGGCTGCGCGAGCGCGTGGGGTGGTTCAAGCGCGGGTTGGTTTGGCGGGTCAGTCTGCCGCAGCGACGCGCGGCGCACCCGAGGCGCCCCGCCCCATCTCAGCGCTTACATGCATACACGTCTCAATAACACACACCACAAACACTGTTCATATCGTGGGATTTGTTGCAGTGATGGAACTCGAGCTGAGGACAATTTCCCTCATCCCCGGCCGCCGCGAGGCCATTGCCTCCCTCAGCCCCGCCGCCGCCGCGGCGCGCGCGGCCGACGCCGCCAGCCACCCGGCGTGCCCCTCCCACGGCACGGTCACCCTCCTCCTCGGCCATGCGCTGGCGCGGGGCGCTCTGCCGGACGGCGACTGCGGCGGCCCCGGCGGCTCTGACGGAGCAGCGCTGGCCGCCATGCGGCTCAGGCGTGAGCGGTTTCTGGACGCGCTGCATCGCTGGTGGGCAACCTGCTGGGCGACATGGGGCATTTTGGGTGCCGCATTGGGCGAAGGGCGGCCGCTTTGCGGTCGTGTCAGGCCGGCCATGCGAGCTCGCAAGGCATGCGGCAGTACTGCTGTCTAGACCAGGGGGCCGCGTTGACCAGGGGACCGCAGGAGGAGCGGCCTAGGTCTGATCGGGCTGACACTGGGTTCAATAGAGGCCCCTGCTTTCAAGATAATGGGGAGAGCACGCGCCCTTGCGCCCGCAACTGCACCTTTCCCCACCTCACCCTCCGCCGCTCCTTTCTCCTGCCGCCACGCGCTGCAAACGCGGCACCCCCTACCACCCAACGATTGCCAGGTGGCTGGCCTGGTGGGTTGATGCTGACGAGGCGGCCGAGTGGGAGAGAGAGATGCAGGCCTTCATGGCCCAGGCCGCCGCCGCGGCTGCGGGCACAGGCGCGGCGGGAGCGGCGGTGGCGGCAGACCCCTCTCTGGCGCGCCGCTCAGAGCGCGAGGCGGCTGCGTTTGCAGAGATGCGCGCGTGGCAGCGGGAGCTGCAGGCGCGCGCGGCGCCGCGCGCGCTGCTGCGGCTGGCGCACTTCCACGCGCCCGGCCGGGTGGGGCTCGCGGCGGCGTTCGCGCGGTCAGATTTGGGGAGGCGGCTGGTGGCGGCGCGGGCGGAGCTTTTGGGGGGCCTCGGGCCGGGGGCGCGCTGCCGCTATCTCAATGCTCTCGTCAGGTGGGGGCGCGGGGGTGCTCTTGCTGCTGCGCGTTGGCGTGCTCGTGTCTGAATGTGTGCTCGTGCCAGCGTGTGCATATGTGTATGTATGTGTGAAGGTTAATGTGAGAGAGTGTGTGTGTTCGTGTGTGTGTGTTCCTGTGTGCATGTGAATGCGTGTGTGTATGTGTATGTGCGAGCGTGCACATCTGAAAGGGGGTTGACGCGCCATCGTCCTGGGCAGAGCGCCGCAAGCAAGATTACTTCCATGCTGACTGCTGGCATGCCTGTGGCCCCGATCCCTCCCTTCTGCCCTCTATCCAGCCATTAACCCTCTGAGCCCCGACCGTGGCCGTGGCCACGGGCCGAAACTTTGCCAAGCTGCTGTGGGCAGCACACAGCACCAAATTCCATTCTGCAAGCTGCAGTAGGTGCCCCTTCATCTCCAGATTGCGGGCGGGGGCCGCCGGGGGGCGCAACCCGCAACTAGCAGGATAGAAACCGGATGGACCATAGCCTGGTTGGGTTTCTAATTCCCAAAAGCCCCTTGCAGCACCGCGCGAGACCGCAAAAACACTTCCGCCCGCGTCCAATCAGGTCAATACACCAGCACTGGCGCCCATGCGATAGCCACGCCCCATAAGATGCGAAAATGCAAAGTTCGGGGGAGCACCGCGTAGATCGTGTGCTCCAGCGGTGCGCAAGCGTATATGCGTGCTCAATCACACATATGTGACTTTATCGTTGCTCGATTTGAGTGGCCGCGGTGGATGCAGCCGACCCCAGCCGCAAATCCTGCAGTTGATGCAGACCGCAAAAACAGTCTTGCTGCACCTCAATCCATGCCATCATGCATGGGTTTATGATGCCTCTTCTGCGCTTATATGTTCGGAAACCCTCAAAACCAACATTCTTGTGCCCTTGGCTGGCTCAAGGCTGTGTGCAGACGACGTAGGCGGGGCATGATTGTCACTGGTTCGCAGGGTGACTGGGTGTGCCCAGAGGGTGCTGCAGGGCCTCTGGCCTGATTAATGCTCCATAAAGTAAATAATAACATCTATGTATTTGAGTCCTATGGAGCACAATTGGACAACAGCTGCTGTCAAGCTGGGGTGCAGCGCAACCGCCTGCGTCACCCGCGCTGTCGCCGCACAAATTCGGTGTCTTCAACGTACACACTGCATACTGTATCGTCGAGTAACTTGTATCCCTTACCGCGCGCGCCGCGCTGCTAAGCATCGTTACGCTTCGGTGCGCTGTCGCGACTCGGATCAATTGTCGCTGCTCTCCTCACGCGGATGATACGTTGTGATATCACGTTGAGGGGTATTCATGACCGCAATATAACTAACACAAGGCAAGCGCACACCGCCGCCTCCCATGCAAGCTGCTCTGGGTGCTGTTGTGGTGCACCCAGAATTAGCGTGTTGGGCCGGGGCCCAGAGGGTTAAGGCCCCCCCCTGGCACCACCCCCACCTCCACGGCCGCCAGGGCCTGGGCCACACTGTGGCAGCCGGAAGTCCTGCAGGCGCTGGCCCTTGAGCCAGGCGGCCCGGGCGCGGACGACGGCACCCCCGACGCTGCAGGCGTGGACGGCCCCGCCGTGGGCAGCGGGATCAGCAAGGGAGCGGGCGCCGCCGGCGCCGGCCCGCCGCTGCTGGCGCCGGCGGGCTGCTCAGATGCGGAGGCGCTCGGACTCACGGGCAGCGGCCCCCCAATCCAGGGGCTCCAGATCGCTCCTCAGCCAATGCCGCCGCCGCCGGTGCGCCCAGGCACGGCCGACTTGGGCGCCGTGGCTTGGCCCCCGACCCTGGACTCTCCCAGCGCCTTGGTTGCGGCCTGCGCCCTGCCACCGCCGCCCCTGCCGCCGCCGCACAAGCAGCACCAGCTGCCAGAGGGGCGCCCTGCCAGCCAGCCCGGACCGCCCCCGCCGCCAGCGCCCGCGCCGCCAGCTCCCTTGGCGGCCCTCGCAGCAGCGCTCGCATGCGGCGGCGCCGCTGCCGCCCTGGGCGCCCCCTTGGCAGCGCCCTCAGCCGACGCCAGCGCGGCCGCGCCGCCTGACAAGGTCAGCGCGTCAGCTGCCCCCACTAATGACGTCAGCGCGGGCTCTGCAGTCGATGACGTCAGCATGACGGCGGAGGCGGCCGTCCAGAGGATCCTGTCCCTAGGGGCGCCGGCGCTCCGGGGCAGCCTGCAGGGGCTTCTGCCCATCCCGCTCCCCCTGCCGGACCCCGCGCTCGCCCTCGCGGCGCCCACGCCACACGCAGGCGGGGGCGTTGGTGCCTTCCAGCCCGCGTGCAATCCCGGCAGCCGGGCGCGCCAGCAGCCGGCCGCCAGGCGGAGCCGTCCACTCGAGGCGGGCGCCGCGGCGCCGGGCGCTCCGTCGCTGCCAGGGCTGCCGCCTGCGGGTGTGGCTCAACAGGCGGCATCGCAACCTGCAGCGCATTCCCTGCTCCTGCAGCCGCTGCCCTCGATTGACCCGCAAGTGCTGCAATCCATGCCCGCGGCCTTGGCCGCCGCCTTTGCAGCGGTGACGGCGGGGGCTGCTGCGGACCCAGCCTCCTGGGGCGCGAAGGGTCCCCTGGGCTTGGCCAAGCTGCCCCTTGCTGACCTGGCGGCTGCGTATGAGCGGCTTCCCGCCGAGGCGTCCGGCCCTGCGCCGCCGGCCCCGGCCGCCGTGCACGGCGGCGTCCCCACGACCGCGGCGGCGGCGGCGGGCGGCGGCATGGGGTGGCGCGGCACGCGGCGCCTTAGCGCGCCAGCGAGTGCGCCAAGAGAAGACAGCGGCGCGGCCGCGCCGGCGACGGCGCCGGCTGTAAAGGCAGAGCCATCCACCGCGAGGTCCTCGGGCCCCACCCCCCCCCACCACGCTGCGCCGCAGCGCGCGCAGGCAGGCGGCGCTCACGCCGTCGGGCCTGGCGTGGGGCGGCCGCCGCTTTGCGCACAGCGACACACCCGCAACGGGCGCGGCGGGCTCCGGCCAGGACCAGTCAGCTGATGCGATCCAGGCCGGCACGGAGGCAGCGGCCGCGCCAGCGTGCACAAACGGCCTCGGCGGGGGCGCCGCGGCGGGCGCGGGCGTGAGGCGGCGCAGCGCGCGCGCGAGGGCCCTGCCGAAGCGCCCGGGCATGGACGACTGGGACTGGGGCGTGCGCGGCGGTGGCGATGACGGCGGTGGCGAGGAGGAGGAGGACAGCGGCGAGACCGAACAAGAGGCAGCCCCGTCCCCGCGGCTTCGCGCCGGGCCGCGGCGCCGCAGGGCCGCGGCGGAGGAAAGCGCGCTTGTCAACGGCGGCGACGGCGGCAGCGCGCCGGCAGTCGTTGCTCCCGCCGCGGCCAAGCGGGCGCGCCGCGAGTCGCAAGGCAGAGCCCCGCTGCAGGAGGCCCCGCCGCCCGAGCCCGCTGCATCCTCCCCGTGTCTCGGCAGCGGTGGTGGCGCGCGCGCCGCGGCGGCGGCGGACGGCCCTTGCCAACAGGAGCCATTCCATTTCTCATCCGAGCCTTCTGAGAGCGACGCGGGCGCTGCGCCACCCGTGCCCGCCGCGCCGCCGGCCGCCCTCGCGCAGGCTGGCGGGCGCGGGGGGAGCAGCAAGAGGGGGCGGCGCTGGTGACCGGCAGGCTGGCGATCGATGGTGTGTGTGTGCTGCGGTATGGAGCGGGACATGGCGACTGCGCCTAGCGGCTGTGTGAGCCTGCAACGAGAGCCTGCTTTCTGGGTGTCAAGTGAAGGGCTCGTGATGACATTGCGTGGAAAATGCTATTCAGAAAGCGTGCATTTTGCAACTCTGTTCAGCAAGCCTGGCTTTGGTGCTTGGGTTCTGCCGACCGCTTGCCCCTTTGTGCACCGGCGTTGGCCTGGGCGCACACGTAGTCTTCAGAATGTCGTCCTGTGTGCTTGGTTCACGGCTGGTCAGCAGGGCGGAAGGTGGAGGGACACCGCCCTTGCTGAGGGGCAAGGATCCCTCTCCCCTCGTGGTGAGGCAGGCTCCCTTACAGCCACAGTATTCAAGTGGACGCTTGAAGTAAGCAAAGTGAAGAAATCTGCTCTGGACGGATTATATGGTTTGCAAGTGCCCCGGCGCGCGCCTTCAAGCCATCACCCGTTGCCACCAGGTGACACTCGCCGGTCCTCGACTAACAAGACCATGAATCTGACGTGGCCGTCGCACCGGATTGCTACAAATGTGTGTGTGAGTGGGGGGGGTTGCCGGGGCCACACCCGCCGCACACTGCATCGCGGACAGTCTCGTGCAAACCGCAAAAGTTACTGTAGTGCCTTGCCCGCAGTCCATCCCAACACACACAAATTTACACTCTCACACACGCATGCACAAAGGCACCGAGCATGGTGTGATGCCAGCACAACGCACTGTGCGTTGACTCTCCACAGCGCATGACATTGGATTGCAGTGTGCCTGTGCCCACCCTGGGCACAGGACAGCGCTGCAGAGGGCGTTGGCCGTGCGCATCTGCCATTTGTGCAAGTCATTGATTGATTTGTGGTTCATAGATAGGAAATAATTACCCTAACTGTTTTCGTCCGCACATTGGCTCAACAACGAACGCCAACACTCGGCGACGCAGCTGCCTGGCCACCCCAATTCCAAACCGGTTCTCAACCTCCGGGGCCGCAGCCCGTCACAACTCAACCCCATTCCGTATGAGCTCGACATGTACGCTAGTTGCGAGCCTCAACCTCAACCCAGCCCTGCTGTAGATCGCTCGCTGACCGCGACATACAAGCGCTAGCAGGCTCCGAACGTGCCTCCACGTCGAGGTGACAAGTATATATTCTATCGCCTCTTGAGTAGGTGTTACCGAAGCCAGCCGCTATGGGGCGGACCGCTCCTCCCGACAACGCCAGCGGTCGACCGCGCAGTGCGCGCTCAGCGCAGGCGCCGTCGTGGCGGGCC